GCATATCGAACTCTATCGTATAAGTAAATTTCATTTGATAAAAAAGAAATAATGCCGTATTTGATGTCGTCTAAAGTGTTATCCTATGCTAAGGAAAAATTTTAAATTACTATTTTATACTTTGTGATCGAGTTTAAAAGCTAGTGAAGCTACGAATATATGTTTTAGGTTTTGTTACGCATACACCGAGGTTGATAGTTCGGTGTACAACCTCCTCACAATAGGGGGATCGATAACTTTTTTTTTTTAGGCACGAGCCCCCTTATTGTTAAAGGGATGTACACCGGGCTGTCATCCTTTAGCACAAATACTATTTTTTCTCTCACATAATTTGAATATAGAGAGCTAAGAGCATCTCCAACCATGGCATCATTGCACCAAATTGCACCAAATTTTGGTGCAAACTTCCTCCAACCATTGCACCATTGCACCAAATTTTGGTGCAAAAAATGGTGTAACGAATAGTGTTGCACCAAATATGGTGCAACACTATTCATGTTGCACCATTTTGCATCAAATGGTGCAATGTCTTTTTTGCCCTTATTTTTCTTTTTTCAAAGATAATGGTTAAGGGCATTTGTGTTATTTTCGTTCTATAATAATAATGATAATGATAATGATGATAATAATAATAATTACTTAATTAATTACATTATAAATTTTATTATTAAAGTTTATTATTTTTAATAATATATTCAATAATAATTAATGTAATTGTTAATTTAACGTAAAGTTAAATTCGTAAAGTTTACGTTTAAAATTTAATTTAATGTAAAGTTTATATTATTAAAGTTTATTATTTTTGTAAATTTAACGTAATTGTTTATCATAAATTAATAATATAATCAATTATTTTTTTCAATTTAACATAATATATATGACATGTGATAATATAATCAATATATTTGTTAATTTAATGAAGTTATGATTTAGTAATATATATAGTTATAAAATAAATAAATAAATAAATAATATTTTAAAATAAATATATTGTCAAAAATCGAAAAAATGAATAAAATAATAAAGCACTGTTCATTTGGTGTAATGGTTGGAGAAGAATTTTGATTTGGTGCAAGCCTAGATTTTATGAATTTTCACTTGATAAATCTTGAATTGCATGAATTTAGAGTTATTATAAATGAATTTATTTATATTCATGTATCTAGAAATTTTAATGAATGTTTAAATTTATGTATTAACAATTAATTTTTATGTATTAAATGTAATATAAAAAGATTGTTCATTTATAGCATTTCGTCATTACAAAAAATTTGAATCATAAAATTGAATTTTGAGAGTATAATTTGAGTACAATTTTACTCTCACATTTCTATGTTAAATTTTATTTTCTTTAATTCGTCTGAAACTCATCAAATTTTCCAACAAATTGGTACTAAATAATACTTTTACATCACTTATAAAGTACTTTAGAATAACGTGTAATGCATGTTCAACTTTGACTATTCATGTTTTGCTATTTAGTTGGACCATAACTCTAACCGATTGTCCTTTTTATTTTTTATTTTTAAGTAAAAGTGATTAGATCAATTCGATTTTTATAAAATGGCACAAATCTCAGTATTATTTTGCACTAAACGATTTTTCAACACCCCAAAATAACGTTCACAACTTATGATAAGTGAAACATTTCCCATTTCCCATTGAGAAATCTTCATTTCTTCATCATCGATAGCTTAATCTCTATGTCTAATCAATGGACCACACACGAGGCATGCCAATTTGCTCTATGATTGATTGATTTGATTCCAAATTAAGCTGGTAAATAATTAGGATTAGGCCAAAATTATAACTAAGAAAAAGACAATCACCAAATTTTAACGTGTCAAAATCCTAGTGGCCAAAAAGTTTCAATGAATTAATAATTTAGTTTGACTTTTTAGGCTCCTTAATAAACACTTTCTTGACACTTTATTAATGTTTCTAACTCTATTATTTGTCCAATACAACGTATGTGTTGACAATAAACAAAGTTTGTCCATTCAATTTATGTTTATAAATAATTTAATTGAACTTAATATTATAGCAAATAAAAACTTTATGTTTAGGTTTTACCACCTATTTACAAAAAAAAAAAAATTGAAATGTAAGTAATAGCATACAAATACAATAAAAACAAAATTAAATAATTACACATTTATCTGAATTAAGAACTAAAGGTTAAATATTTTATAGTCATTCTTGAATTTTATCGGCATCATTACTACGAATTTATAAAAATAGAGAACGTATGATACTTTAATAAAAGATTAAATTAAGCAATTTGGATAATGTATATCAAGATTTATATAATGAATTACATAATGTCACACAGCACTATACTATTTGTTAATTTAAAAAGCAATCAATTTTTTTCATCTAATCTTTTCTCTCTACATCATATCATGTATATTTTTTATGTACAAATAGCAAAATCATTTTTTGAATGATCGATGTCATAGGACACATTGAAGACAAAAACCTAAATATATAAATAAATTTATTATCTGCAATGGATTTTAAGATTAAATCTTTCGTGCCACTTAATTCTCTCTCTCTCTCTCTCTCTCTCTTTTTTGAATAATTATATTCACAGCATCCTCGTTGTTTCTTATTTTTTGCACTTATGTTTTCTATTTATTTCGACTCATTCTTATAATTAACTTTTAATTCATTAGCATAGCTTGTCATTTATGTCCAAAAATATAGCTAGCTTGCATCGAAATGAGGTGAAAATATTTTGTCAAAATTTCCTATTTGTTGTTTATAATATTGCTTATTTAAAAATAAGATATACAAATAACTTTACTCCCTCCTAATAATTTTTTTTTTGGATGAAAACGATCATGAGAGAGGTTGTATCAAGTATGTTTACATTAACACAAAATTGATGAAGAATGTGATGAAAAAAGTTAGGAACATAACTATAAAAAATGCGCAATAAATAAATATAGCACGATTAAAAAAATATATGGTGCGAATATAATTAGTATCCTTTTGTAGGATTGTTGATGCTGAAACACATCAAATTGCCATTCTTCAACTATTTGTTAGGAACCAACGATAGTTAGGAATCTAATTGAAGACCACTTCCATTATTCAAGCTTCATTTTCATGACTTCCTGTCATACATAAATTCAACCAAAAATAAAGAGAACAACAATCTTACAATAGCAATTATTCTTAAGACTTGTCTACATAATATTTTTAATTCAATATTCTAATTTCTTTGTGAATCCTTAATTTATTGTCCAATTATTAAAAGAGCAAGTTAGTTTTAAATCCTTACTTGTAGTAACACAATCAATCTCTTAAAAAAAAGGTACAAATCTCTGTTTAAGGCCCCTTTTTTCCTAAGAACATCTTTTAGAATAGTAGATTGATGGAGAGAATGTGTGATTAAAAAATAAAGAAAAGTTTGAATTTGCGTGTAATATTATTTTATTGAAAAATATATTACTGAAAAGAAGAAAGAGAAAAATATATTTTAGAAATAATGAGAATCAAACGAAGGATTACATTTTCATTAGAAACATATGTCCCCTCCAGAAATCTAAGCACGAGTCTAACGTGAGGAGCAAAACCTAGTATCATAAAGTTGGATGACAAAATAATATCTACACCTATTATTTCAAAAATAATTTTTAAATCATTGAAAATCAATGATCTGAATTTTACCAACACTTATTTTTTCAACTAAATTTATAAACACACTTTATACAAATAGTATAATACCTTGCTTGATATTAAAGGTCAGAAACTATAGCCAACAAGAAGTTGTCCCTTTTTCATCATGCAATAAGGGATTCTTTGCAAAGCTTTTGATAAAAAGTTTTAACTAGGTTTGACCAAAAAAAAAAAAAGAAAGAAAGAAAAGAAAAGAAAAAGAAAAGAAAAGAAAAAAAGAAAAGAAAAGGAATTTGCTTGTGAAGTTGATAAAAATTATTAAATATGATTAAATTGAAGATTGATCAATTGAAAAGTTGATCAAACTTTAACAAACCTTTTTATCAAACAAGCACTAAAAGAAAATAGATTCTCGAGTCACTGCAGTGTAAATAAATATAGAATTGTAATCCTTTATTGTACTTTTCATAAGATGGGAGGGTGGAGAAATCCAGCTTTATTTGAGGTTGTCGCGTCAAGAATTCGAATCCTGAAATATGGATTTGGCTATTGGGTAAGTGCAAGTATACAAGCAGCCTTCCACCCTATACCCTTGGAGGCATAACTTGCGATTTACCTCTCTCACGATGTTTCAGGGCAGGGGCTGTGGGAGGCCCTTAAGATTGGGGTTCAACCTTTAGTTAAGAAGAATGGTTGCGGAATTGAAATTTGTTTATTTTTATGATACTGTTTTTGGACTAAAATCCATAAGATTGGCGGTCCTGTCCTTGAGTATTTGCTATTCGAGTAGAGATATCAATTCGAATTGTCAAAATCGAAAATCACAGTTAACAGAATCGAATGAGGCAAAAAAAAAAATCGAACCAATAGGGCAATGTGATAGATATGGTATTTGATTTTAATGCCTCGGTTCAAGGCGGAACGAGTATAGTATTTATGGCTTCACCCCGCACCGAACCGTTTACCCGTTAAAAGAAAAATAATTGGACAATTAAACTTTTCATTATTCTTTTTATGATTCTGTTTAACCCAAAATTCTGGCCCCGGTTCAAGGCGGGACGGGTATAGTATTGTGTTTTTGTTTTTATTGATTTTTTTTTCAAAAATTATTTATTTTCAATTTGATGTTTGGACCTATAAAAAATAAATTATTTTCGTGGATATTAAAAGCCCGAATCGAGTCGAACCAACTTACGTGGTTATGGTGCAGTTATAGTATAAAAAAAAAATTGGTGATTTGATAATGGTTTTGGCCGAACCGATATTTGAGTATTATATTTGTTAAAAGTATCAATAGTTAGAGTCCAATTGCAACTTGGACAACAGGTTAAGGACCAATAGTGTACTTTCCCCAATTTCTTTTGATTCTCAGAAGTAGGGAGTGAAAGTGTGAAGACGATCAAAATACCGAAGACTTTTGCATACACAGCAAAAATCACAATTTCTCTCTCTCTCTCTCTCTCGCGTTTTCGAAGCCGCGGACTCGAGAAACGTCAACTCACCGGCGTTTTTAGCTGCCTATAATTGATTATTTTCAGAAACGCTTCCTCAAATTTAGGCTTTTGTATCATATTTTTGCATCAAATATAGAAGTAGCTATACAATTTATTGACAAGATTCAGAGCCACGTCCTGAAAATCACTTATATTTGTCTAGAAATTTACTTTTAAACCAAAACCCATTTAATTAATTTAGAAATCTGCACTTTTTCCTTCGACATCTGGTTTGGGATGAGCTGATTTGGCAGAATTTTTCTCAAGTATAAATGCCCGCCAGATATTGGTCAATTTGACTGATTCAGATATGCCAGCTGATTTAGATAATTGTTCTACCGTTAATGATTACACAGCTTCTGGAGATTCCTCTTCAGGTAATCAAATAGCTCCTCCTAAACCAAACGTCAAGAAAAAGCGAAATCTCCCCGGGATGCCAGGTAGAACAAAACATGAATTATTGTCTCATTTTTTGGTAGTATTTCAAGAAAATGATGCAATCTTGATGGTGGATTTCTTGTTTTTATAATTTTTTTTAAGATCCTGATGCGGAGGTGATTGCTCTATCACCGAAGGCTTTATTGGCAACGAATCGATTTGTTTGTGAAATTTGCAATAAAGGATTTCAGAGAGACCAGAATCTGCAGCTTCACAGGAGGGGTCACAATTTGCCTTGGAAGCTGAAGCAGAGGTCAAATAAAGAACCAAAGAAAAGAGTCTATGTATGCCCTGAGCCGAGTTGCGTTCACCACGACCCTTTACGGGCATTGGGCGATTTGACGGGGATCAAAAAGCATTTCTGTCGAAAACATGGAGAGAAGAAGTGGAAATGTGACAAGTGCTCGAAGAAATATGCGGTTCAATCGGATTGGAAGGCTCATTCAAAGATTTGTGGAACTAAAGAGTATAAATGTGATTGTGGGACTTTGTTTTCAAGGTTCAAGATTCGATCTTTATTGCAGTTTTGTACCATTTTTTTTGCTTTCAGTGAATTGATTTTAGATGTTTGGAGTTTTTATTTGATTGTTATGCAGGAGGGACAGTTTTATCACTCATAGGGCCTTTTGTGATGCATTGGCAGAGGAGAGTGCAAAAACGCATACAGCGATGGCACCTCCTAGTGCTGATGAGGAACCACAAATTCAAGCTGTTGAATCATCACCATCATTGCCACCATCCACGGTGGCACCACCACCGCCACAACCACCGCAGGCTCCAGCACTGGCTATTTCTTCTTCGAGTGGTGTAGTGTCCTCTGTTTTGCCTGTTCAGAATCCAGGTATTTTGACTGAAAATTGGATATTTGCAGTTTTAGATTTGGAGTTTGTCTCTATTTATTAGTTTGACAAACCAACAAAAATATTTTGTTGTTTATCTGTCTTTGTTCTTGGAGTTTAGCTGTATTTTGTCTGTTGCTGGTATTTGTTGTTATCTGCTAAAACTGTTAAGACTAAAAACTAATAATGATTTAATAGTGCAAGAACTGAGAAATTCAATGGAGAAAAAGAAACCATGTGAGAGAATTAAGAACTAAGATTCATCTAAGAAAAGTTTTTGGTAAAGTAAGAAGCAATTGGATCCAAAAGCTGAAAAAATAGAGCAAAGTGGACTTTAGAAAGGAAACTATTATTGATTATTTTTTTGTTTCGTATAAATTTCTTTAAAAAGGAAAAGCTCAGCTTTTCTTGCTGCTTTATTTATTTCAATGAGCAATTCTGTTTGTTTCTTTTCCTCTTGATGTTGGTATATCTACAGAGTTGGTTGAAAGCAGCAATCCCAGTCCCTCTACTGCACAGATTCTAGAGACCTCAACCCCGACCCCACCAGTCACCAGCCTAACCACAAGCTTTAGCAGCGTTAGCAGTTCTAGCAGCAGTGGAAGTACAAGTAGTAATGTATTTGCAAGCTTATTTGCTTCATCAACGGCCTCAGGAAGTTTGCAGTCTCAAACAACCAACTTATTTGAAGCCCTGGCTCGCCCCGAGCAGATAGTTGACGTTGCTCCTTCTTCGTCTTCAGAACCCGTGTCCCTCTGCCTTGCGACGAATCAAGGGTCATCAATTTTTGGAACAGCAGGGCAAGAGCGCAGGCAGTATGCTCCAGCACTTCAACCTGCTCCTATGTCTGCAACAGCGTTGCTACAAAAGGCAGCACAGATGGGTGCAGCTGCGTCGAATGCATCTTTGTTGAGGGGGGTCGGAATTGTATCTTCTTCCTCACCTTCTAGTGGTCTGCAGGAATGGAGCGGGCAACAAATTAAGCCGGAGGGTGCACCATTGGCTGCTGGTCTTGGATTAGGATTGACCTGTGATGGAGGGTCTAGTTTGAAGGAATTGATGTTGGGGACTCCATCTGTTTTTTGCCCAAAACACACTACCCTTGACCTCCTTGGATTAGGAATGGCTGCTAGTGGCAGCCCATCTGGTGGGCTATCGGCTTTAATGACGTCCATCAATAATGGCCTCGACGTTGCTGCGGCAGCAGCAGCATTTGGTGGCGGAGAATTTGGTGGCAAAGACATGGAATAGGGCAACTGGACACTCGACCGAATCATTCACTTTTATTCACCCGAGCTTCATTCGTGTCAAGTTTATGACCAATCGCTGTGCATGGCCACAAGGTATTCGACTAAATTAATGTTATGGATAGCAACATCTGGTATACCATGCCATTAGTGTATAGAAATGTACTTATCAATGAGTCAGAGTAGTGGTTGAGCTCTTCAATGCTATCTGCCGTCTTTTACCAGTAAAGGGCAACTGGGCTCTTTGTAATGTATTAAGTACTTAAATTCTTGTTCTACTCATAATTATTTATGAAATACCTGATTAAGATATATAACTCTCCGATGCTCAATGTAAGCAGCCCGACACTAATATATCGTATGTTTTAATTGATTAAATGCAAATTGGTCATGTGACGGTGCTCGTCTTGTACTAAAGATTTGAACAATAAAAATAGATGGAATACTAATGTCTACATGTCGGTTAGGTACTGACGTGTTTTATTATTATCATCATCATCATTATTATTATTATTATTATTATTATTATTATTATTATTATTTTCTTAATAAATTTCCCCAAATACATAAAATTATTATTATTATTATTAAATAAATTTTCCGAAAATACATAAACTGTAGCAGTTGGCGGCAATGATTAAAAATTGATTGCAGTTAGTGAAAAGACATCATATGGGTGGATTAAATGAGTTTGGATTAGGTATGGGATTTGCTTGAGCATTTTGACCGAGGAATATTTTATTTACAATTTATAATAAAATATTAATTTAGAAATTACTTAATTAGCAAACTATGACAATCCAACTATCAATGAATTAATCGATTAACCAATCACAGGTCGACCATTATTAAGGCGAAAATAGTCTAAAATTTTGGTACTAGTTGCGATATGGTTAATTCATATCAAAATTTAAAACAAAGAGTAAGATGATTAGATAATATTTCATAACCATTTTTATTTTTTGGGAATTTCACACTTTGAATAAGACTCAAATCATATTATTGAACTGGTAAGACATGGTTCTTACCATTAGAGCTATGTCTTGATCTCTAATCTTTCGTAATTTCAAATGCATATTTTTACTTTTAAGATTTTCAAATAGGACAACCTTTTGAACTGTCGCTGAATTCATGGACCAGGCAAGAGACAACTGATGAACTGAAAAACCTTAGTAGTTAGAGGAAAAAAAGGCAAAACCAATCTCGTAGTAGCGATGAACATATTGGGAGCAACCTAAGTCGTGAAAACTAGATCGTGGAAAAAGAATACAAGCATTGTGTTGTTATGCTAAGTAGTATGAATGCTACATCCAAAATGACTTTCAGTCCAATAGTAAAAAACATTATTAACTTAATTTCTGACCCGAGTAGCATGAGACACGTTGAATCTCTAGAAATCAGCGAGGGTAACATTGCAAGGCTAAATAGTGAAAAAAATATTGTGAAAATTACAGATTCTAATAGATTAAAAATCTTCATTTCATAAATAAGATGCCATGTGTTAGTATTTCACAAATCAGAATTTTTTTAATTAATTTATGTATTTAAAAATTTATTAAGTAAAACAATTTCAAACCCTAATTATATCATTCTGAATTCCCCCTCTCACTCTCTCACAAGATCACTCCCACAAATCGACTATCGCCGGACAAGCAGCCACCGGAAGATCACGATCGAGCAGGACCGAGAATGGGGGCCATGGAGATCCTGGTTGCGGCAGCAGCTCAAAGAAATCAAGTCACGACTGCAGGGAAGATGGTGGTCCAACGGTTGCAGTCAGTGATTTGGTGGATATCCGGGGTGAATGTCGTGGTAGTGGTTTTGATTTTAGAGGTGATGTAGATGTGGTGGTAGTGGTGGAAATTGCTCATGAATGTGGGAAGATGGCGGTTCGACTGCTATAGTCGACGATTCTGTGTGTGCAGCGGTGAATGTCGTGTTAATGGTTGTGTGGTGGGTGGAGATGGTGTGTTGCACAGTGATGGTTTTGAGGTGGTGGTGTTTGCGATGGTGTTGCAAGGTGGTTGGAGGGTAGGATGCGGTGGTGATGGGTTACCTTAGTGCTAGGTGTTGTTGGAGGTTTGTGATGGTTTTTGTTGGTGGTGCAGGCGGAGGTGCTGCCTGGTGCGGTTGATCTGGCAATGGTGGTAGACGGTGGTTTTCGTGGGCGTGGTTGGGTCGGTGGTTGTGGCCACAAGTGTTGGTCACAGATTATTTAGTTAACTGTGACCATTAAATTGGTTAATCTGTAACTAATAAATAATATGTGATCAATGAAAAATATAAATTATGACCAAGGTATAATGTGTGACCTAAAAAATTAATAATTTATGACTATCTAATAAGTTGTGGCTTATAATATTTGTGATTTGTGGCTTACAATTTTTTTTATTCATGATTGAAAAATAATATGTGATCAATAATTTTTTTGATTTATGACCGAAAAATAAGTTGTGACTAAAAATGAATCCATGACTAATTAATTTTTTTATTTGTGACCGTTTTGAATTGTGATCGTAAAATAATTTGTGATATAAAATTTATGATTTGTGATAAAAAAAAATAATAAGTGGCTAATTAAATTGTTAATTTCTGATCAAATTGTGTAGATATGTGACTTAAATATATTTACTTAATAAAATAAATAAATAATTAATTTAATAATAGATAAATTTTAATAAAAATCTGATTTTTGAAATTTAAAACTATTTTTCTTAATTTTGAAATATGTCATATTTAATCTCTTAATTATGAAATTTTCCCAAAAATATTTTCCATTTCCATGGACCATTTAGTAGCCAAACTTCTTTTTTTGAGCTCAGACAGTTGCGCAAATTTGAATAGAGAATGCAGTATTGGCCCTTTTACGTTTGGGCTTGTTGGTCCGTTTGGCTTGGGTATCGTAAAGAGGATGATATCCGTTAATTGGCCTAAAAGTTAACAGACTGAGCTTGAATGTTTAATGATAAGCCCAATAACAAAGCTTTAAAGGGAAACTTACAAAAATATCCTTAAAATTATGGATGTTTTGAAAAATCATATGAAAAGTTTTTTGGAAGTAAAAAAAAAAAAAAAAACTGTGTAAAATTAAAAAGTGTCATTATGTCACTTTTTTATAAAAATTATATCACTTTTTTCACAATTCATAACAACTGACAAAATTCAGAAAAAAGTGATACAAATACTAAAAAATTGACAAAATTCAAAAAAAAGTGACACAAATTTTAAAAAAGTGATAAACACCAAAATTGCACAATCCATTTGTGCAGCACCAATAATCATGTTCTTAGCATATTCAGCATGTTCAGAACAATCCACGTGAGCGTAGTGGCAACTCTTATCACATATCATGTCACATTTTTAAGAAGATAAGAAAGTGACAAATATTAAAAAAAGTGACAAAACTTAAAAAGTGACAAACTCAAAAAGTGACAAATCTAAAAATATATATATATTTTTTGGAAATAAAAAATACTGTGTAAATTTAAAAGTGACAGAATGTCACTTTTTTTTAACACAATTAAAAAAATGACACCAACTCAAAAAAAGTGACAAACTAAAAAATAAAAGTGACAATTAAAAAAGATGACACAAACTCAAAAAAAGTGACAAACACCAAAATAACACTATCCATTTTGTTCCCCTGACATTTCATATAATTTTTCATTGGTCACCATCTCACATAGACTGTAATCCACAAAATGAGTTTGAAATCATCTATGATTCAATGATTTAATAATTTTAAACCTTATTTGAAGTTAATATTCATATTTCAAGAAAGTGATAGAAAATAATAAATAAATAAAAAGTAAAAATACTGTGTAATATTAGGTGACACTAAGTTAAGTGTTATTTTAAGTTAAGTATCACTTTTTTTTTTATTAAAAAGTGACATTGATGTTTGTTACTCAAAAAAAGTAACAAATAACATTGAAAGCCAACTATAATTAAGACATTTTGATACATACTCAGATTTGGGAAATGAATTTTGATAAGAATTTCAATTTTGACACCAATAAAATTTATTGACAATTGGGACCTTCGAAAATAGCTTGGCTGCTCTTTCACTGCACTTCTTTGTCCGAAGTTCTAATATTTGACACTAACAAGGCGAGTGTGTTTCAAATGTGCAACTTAAATAGAATTGCTGAACATATGCACATTCAACCTCACAATATTCATCCTTCTCAATACAAATTGCGTTCTCACAATGGAGTACCATTTTACTCTCTTACTGATTTCAATAGGAAGTGATCAATCCCCTCTGCCAAAGTAAAAGATTTTTTGTATCCAATTTTATGTCAACAAGTAACAATTTTGTTTAATATGCATAATATTGGATTAGATGCTGCATAAGGACTTTATGCTTTTCTCTCTCCAATCACCATTTCAATACCCGATAACATGCTTGAGAATCTAAATTTCTTCAGACCAACAAACAAAACGTAAATCAACAATTCAACCAAATTCACCACAAATTTACCACAATAATCAAAGATTTCAACTTTGTTTCAAAGGCATTCACTTATTCCTGTAATGCCGCATGTTGTTACTTCATATTCTATTAGAGTCCCAAATACGAAGAACGCGGTGTTGAATTGTTTATCAAATCTGGGGAACTCTAATTTTGAAATTGAGACTGAGAGGAAATTACGGGATAAGATTTTAAATAGAAATTGTTGTATTTATTTTCAAGAAGATAATAATGACCCACACCTAAGCCGAGTTCCACGCCGCCTCCCGTGCAATTTTCAGCGGACCCATATATGGCAGCGATTCAGTTGGTAATCACAGTATTGAATTGCTCAAAAGTCTAATTCTACCGGATTTTCCCTCTTCTGCTACAACTGCTATCCCTTTCTACTTGTCATTGTCTCTTTGAAAACTTTGGATTAAATGAATAGAACAAAGAAGGGCTGGTTTAATGGGAGGAAATTATAGAAAATGACCGGATAACCCGATGTTATTTCCAAAGTAACCTTTGACCCATTTTTTAATTAAAAAAAATCGAATTTAAATATTAAAATCCCAAAATACCCCTCACAAAACCGACTTTCACAAAACTGAAAATCACAAAACCGACTCTCACAAAACTGGTCGGAGCAAGGTTGATCTATCGCCGGCGACGTCTTGTTAAGATAAGTTACCGTTGGTTGGTTTAATATTTAGATTTTGGAGATTTTTCAATATTTTTTTGTTTATATTAGTAAAATAGGGTTTGTATAGTGTAAAAAAATATTGGTTGTTTGAATTTGGAAGCTTTCCTCACTGAAAATGGTGATTTTCCGACAAGAAAGCGTGTGAAGAAGGCC